ACAACTCACTCACTCACACAAACCACAACTCACTCATTCACACAAACCACAACTCACTCACTCACACAAACCACAACTCACTCACTCACACAAACATGTACACAAACCACAACTCACTCACTCACACAAACCACAACTCACTCACTCACACAAACCACAACTCACTCACTCACACAAACATGTACACAAACCACAACTCACTCACACGTTCACAAAAGGGAAAATGAAAATACCATAACGATGCTTTTTTTATGGCAAAACTTTATTATATATATATTATATACAACAACACTCTATTGTACAGTGGAATCCTGTCATAACGAGAGGGAGGGGACCGGAGCAAAATGTCCGTTATAGCAGGATTCTCGCTATAACTATAAGGGATCCAGTAATAAGTTCAAGCGAAACTGTAAAGTACGCCTAATCTATGAGTTTGGTGTTCTGTTTATTTCCTTTTGCTATCTCCCCTGATGATGATTTTGTTTCAACATGATCTCTAGGTCTTACTTGATCAAAAATCGAATCAGGTTTCTTTCTCTAGCGCTAGATCTAGCGATGTGGACTGACAGCTCGGCGTTGGCGATCAGAAAGGAAGGGCTCCGGGGTAACTCACCCGCTGTGTTTTCCATGTGGTGCATTCTGTCTGCTTGCACACGTCACACATTCGCTCCGTCCATCACATTGCTGTAACCTCTCCATCCCCGCATCGGAGAAGTGAGAGGCATGGTAAGCCTTGATAATCTAAACTAAGCTTACACTGGCATATCACACGATGCGTTCTGCTTGTCTGCGCATGCCACACCCTCCCTACTCAGTTGCTCCGGCCTTCATTGTTGACGCACATGGGCTCTCCTTTTCTTTGTTTCGCAAGATCACCAACAAATTTCTCAACTGGCGAGGTTTTGCATAAATGTATAATTGGCCTATGCACTGTGCACAGCAGCAACAATACTCCGCTATAACCGACTGGCATGTTTGTCTGATAGCGCTATAGCAGTATTCTATTTACATAGATAAGAGGAGGAAAAAAACGGGGTTTTAGAATGATGTCTTTATAACAGACTTCTCGTTTTTTCCGGACTCGTTATAAGTGGACTCCACTGTACAGGTAGTACAAAGACACACACACACATTCTCTCTCTCTCTATCCCTCCCTCCCTTTCTCC